GGGAAATCTTAATTAAAAGGTCAAATGATATAACAGAAAACTGTCACTACAGACAGAGCAACACTTTTAGCTGCACCAGAGCTACTTGTTTATACCAGGACCAAACATTTCCATGGTCATCTATCTGTTTTGCATTAATTAAATTGTTGCCTTTTTCAAATACTCTATGTGATCTGGCTCCCTATCAGTGTGGTTCTGAAAACAGGACTCCCCATTAGAAATGAATTAATTAACTGAAATGCAAAACCTTTACAGACATTGCAACATAGAAGAGTAGGATGTTGATGACTTGTCATCTCAGATACCTTCCTAAACTGCTGTTCAGTGGTTAAAACAGCCCAGCTGGCATGGTCATTCACCCGGTAGGGACATTTACAAACTTTAACTACTGCAATAGTGCAGTCTGTAAAACTGATATCTGAAATTTGAAATACCAGATTTTCATAATAATGTAATGGCACAAACACATTTTAAGATAATAGGGTCTTTCTGGAGAGTTGTGGCCACAGCTTGACTTTTCATTGATTATTTACTCTGGAGATGTATCACAGCAAATGTGCTCATTATCTCACTGACTCCAGCGAACTCCTTACTTGGGGCTGAGAGTCTTGTTTTTTTCATAGAACAGCCGGAGGTCCTGGGGGCTGCTAGCCTAAAGGTGACAAAAGGTCAAAGATGTAGCTGAGAACATGTAAAGGTCTGCAAATGTTTTATAGCATGACATAATTAGTTTTTATATTATATGGTGCAGTATGCTCCCATCACACAGACGCCACAATCCATGTTCTGAAATACCAAAGAATGAGAGTACTCTGACACTTTCAGAAGTGATGCTGGGCTGGTTTAGATAAGACATTTGTAAAAAGCTATCTGTTCCATCTTTCACAGCACTAGTCAAGTCAGCCTGGGCAAACTGCCCGGTCATCTCTCACATGATCTGGAGAGAAGAGACAGCCCGTCTGAAACACACTGAACTGTGGTTTCTCGACAAAGATGGAAAATGTTAAAGGAGGATTCAGGAAAGTTGATTCAGTAGGTTAATTTTGTTACAATTTTAAATTACTGCATGGTTTTTTTTTCCCATCACTTTAATCACCTTAAAATATTTGCTTCAGTTTCACTATCTAGCACTGTAGCTGTCACAAAACTGCATTGCACAAGCTTGACTACTTGTTTCCTTCCCTGCTGGAAGAAATTCAAAAGAAAGATCATAATATTTTAAGATACTTTTTTAAAATTCATTAGGTTTTTGTTATGTGCAAATTGAAAATGCACCTTTTTAAAAATGCTTGCAGGCTTTCTAACTACAACATTTATGTTTGGCTGAGAAAGGCTGTTGTAACAATAACAGAAAAATGTGACAAAATAAAATGGACACAGATATTTTCTCAAATTTCACTTAAACTTTGTACTACATTTGGACAGAAACGTGCCTACATTTGAAGCAGGTTATATTCAAACAAGCCTACACTGCTGCCTTGAATCAATCAGATTACAACCTATGAATGTAGTTCACTTACCTGAAAAGGAGCCTTCCCAGTCAAGCACTGAAACACTATAGTTCCTATACTCCACAAGTCTGCTTTGGCATCATAATTTTGGCTCATAATGACCTCAGGAGCCTGGGGAGAATAAAGGAGATCATTTTCAGTGTGACACTTCTTTGGAACTCCTTGAATGTGAATTAAATAAAATGATTAAGTTGTCAGCATTACTCATGCTGTAAGGTTTTAGAGATGGATTTCAAGCATCACTGCAAAATTAAAAGAACTAGAACTCTCTACTGTTTCAAATGAAGACTTATAGCAGACACAACTGAGCCATCATTGAGCTGGAATGGACAGTCTGTCTGTCTGTCTGTCTGTCTGTAATAGATCCTCTGAACCTTTGGCCTGATTAATAGGCTTAAGGATTCGTTAAGTTTCCAAACAGCTGAACAACACACACTAGTTCCACAAAGAAGTCATCAAATGTGAATTTGCTTGGATTTAAACAACCAGCTTAAACAAAGTATGCTGGCAATTGTTATCTTATATATTTAAAAACACACAAATAGTGCTTACCATATACATAGGGGACCCACAGAGTGTTGCCGCCATCATGTTGTTCTGAAGGTGCCTGGCAAAGCCAAAGTCCGCTGTGAAGAAAGTGAGGCAGGGCAGAAAGGTGGGAGCATAAAGAATGAGAAACTGCCAGAGCGGATGAGTTAATACTGGCTGCAAAAAGTGAACACAGCTACTGTATAATCTTCATACAGTGAATGCGCAGATCCTGAGGGCAATCACAAAACGATTAAATAAGAAGAAACTGTAAAGACCATCTCAAAGAAAAACTGCACTCACAAGAACACAAAATCCATAACCCAGTTTTGTTCTGCTACAGATTCCTAACTGAATGGTCTATTTTCAAAGCCATTCTAAGAATCTAGCAATAATGACTGATTACCTTATGATTACAAGCATGATCACAGCGCCTCATTTTCCCATTATCTCCCAGTTGGGTATTACAGCTTAGGAAAATACTTGCCAACTCAAAAGAACTGCTGGACAAGGTTTCTCTCTAGTAGAGAGCATGAATAATAAAATAGGCTGAATAATTGTTGGGTAGTTCAATTATTTAAGGGAATTATAAAGAATAATAAGCCCAGTCAGAAAATGTACTGAACAGTCATAAGATTAAGCTGATCACAGTCATTATATTAACTTTAAAACAAACTTTAAATATGATCTACAATCTTTGACCAGCATAGTAAACAAGTCAACAACTAATGTTATAAGAATCCCTGCAGTATTGCGATTTGCATGTTTGTGTGTCTGCATCTGTATTTATGTAGGTACAATGTGTGTGTGTGTGTGTGTGTGTGTGTGTGTGTGTGTGTGTGTGTGTGTGTGAGTGATTTCCCGTTTTCCCCAGAGTCGTGATGATTATAGTGTTTATGCCGTGACTACAACTGGCACACGCCTCAGACGTCACTCTCACTGGCTGATCAATTTGCTCCAGGGAAAAAAGGATTAATAGGCTTAAGGATTCGCTAAGTTTCCAAACAGCTGAACAACACACACTAGCCCTCTGGACTTGGGCATGAGTCAAACTCAAAACTGATGAGACACATACATCATGTATCTGTAAACAGGTTCTCTTTTTATGGTATTAAATCAACATTGTGAAAAACAGTACCCACCACTGCTGAGGGAAAATGTGAAATTCTATATACATAATCACTTTCTTCTAACAAGTTTTATTTTATAATCTTAGTGGACTCAGTTACCTTAGGGATATCATTATTAGGTCTTGTTGCAATCAACTGTCAGCTTCATGCTGTAGGGATTTCCATATGTTCCACACGATTGGTTTAGGTTTTGCTAAAGGTAGCGCTTTTTGCTGCTTTCCTAAGTCTCAGTGTAAACCCACAAGCTGTACTCTCATGTCTGAAACATCATAATGATTCGCATTTACATTTCAGACTATGTTGACATTCATTTTGGACATTATAATTCTGAACAAGCAGTGCTACATTGTAGAACCTGTTTACTATCAGAAGTCTCTAGGACTTAAGACAGTAATGTCCTGTTTCAACTAATCACACTTGTTTACCTGTTTGTTTACTGTACAGTATATGTCCAGTGTTGGCTAACTTGAAATGATCATTGATATTCCGTTTGTTTACTGTACAGTATACAGTATGTCCAGTGTCGGCTAACTTGAAATGATCATTGATATTCATTGTTATTCATCCATATACGGTATCTCCTACAATGAGGTTATGGCAGTCCTGTTCTCTCTGTGGCACTTTGACAGCCCGTTGAGTTAAAATGCAACAACAGAAAACTAATATTACACATCTATCTATGTACTAATGTTCACGTCATCACACATGTGTACAGACCTTCACACCATCAAACCTACCAATCTTGATGCAGGTGTTGTTGGAGTGCGACTTGCGTCCCAGTGGGTAGGAGAGCAGAATGTTCTGAGGTTTGAGGTCCCTGTGAATTATGCCTTTAGCCTGTAGGACCCTCATGGCCCCTGCAATCTGCTGCAGGAAAACCCTAATAGTGTCCTCACTCAGCGTGCCTTTGGCTGTAGAGAAACCAGAGGTGAATCATTAAAGCCTACCGGTAATTAAGCACAAGTTAATGACGGTTTGTGATTCTCATAATTTGCGGTGCATTTAAAATTGAAACCAAATGACCCTTTTCCCCAGATTTTCAAATCCATGCTAGTTTCTTGACGTTAGATCAAGTTATACAAAACAGACCACCTCATTTTACTTCTAAGATATCTGCTCTCTCACATCACCCCACTGTCACTTCCTGCTCCTAGTCTCTTTCTCCCCTCTAATCATCCCCCTAGTTTCACAATTGTGCACTGGGGCTCTATGTGTGAGTCCCTCCTTTGCTATACTGGCATTAATCTACTGCAAGTATTAATTAATTTACTGCAGCTTCGCCTAATGCACTGAAGTAAAAAAGCCAGCCTAATGCCGCTCCTGAGTTCTTTTTACATAGATACAGGCATCCCAGGATCGGAGGTATAACATTTAACATGACATCCATGAATCTGTTGTGCATTGTGTACAACACATTAACGATTATGGTCACAGATTATGTTTCTTATATTAAAATTTAATAAAGGGGCAGATCTATAAAATCCTGAATGGGGTGGCCAGGCTGTGGCACAGACTCAGAGAAATGGCATGTTTGAAATACATGCACAAAGCTAATTTATTTCCCTAGTTCTATGAAATAATAAACTATACATTATAAAGAATCAAACTGTTTATTGTGTGTAATAATGAGACGCACATAGTGTTTTCATTTGCTCCTTGCTGGGGACATTGCTGCTGCACAGTACAGTGCAAATTCTGATTTTGTGGTCTAAGCCAACACACATACATACAACACACATACGTATTTTAAAAGTCGACCGCCTTTTCTTGG